CCTTTCAATTTTAACCCAATCCAAGGGTTTGTACTGGTGCATCATACCTTTCCATAGTTTTGGATGAACACACTCAGGAAGAACAAGTAGAACTTGCAACAGATGCTCAAACAATAAGTAGTTATGTATGAATTCTGAAAAAACTTTTCCAACCTTAGGAGATTCAAATTCAACGAATCCAAAATGCCTCGATTTCCCTGTCTTCCTATTCCTTCCTATCCTGAGTCTCTTGATTGTAACAGATTGCTTAAAGAAACCTTCCATTTCATTCTCATAAAATCCATGTGGAATTCTTCCAAATATATAAGACAGTTGCTTTATTCTCCATTTCTTCAATCTTTGGAACTTGTTTTGATTCAAGTTGCTGCTTGTCAAAATTAGGAGGAGAACAATTCTTTTTGAACAGCGTCAATTAGTAGTTAATATATTTTCATTTCTTGAAATTATAAAGTATTCTAGAGTTTGGTAGAGTGTCAATAACGATGAGCATTTTTTTCGTGGCTGTGCCTTTTGAAAATTGGTGGTGAATCAAATTCATGGCATGTCACAAAGATTTGGAGTTATGTATTAGAATATAAATAATATGGATTCCATCTAGTGCTCCAAAATTTATTTAGAAAATTCCTGGTTGTGCCTCTTTTTTTTCTAGAAATTTTATTTAGAAAGTTTATTCAGATTTACTAGTTGTGCCTTTTTTTTTTTCTCACTAATCCAAAAAAGGGAAAGGTATAGAAATAATTGGAGTTTTAATAATATAGTTGATTGTCATTGCTACTTTGACGTCATTTTCCATTTCTTAGTGTCCACGATGTATTTGGGCAATTTTGGCTTCTTAGTGACAGAAATAGAATCTAAGTTAGGCCAGTAAATTTGATAAATTTTTCTCTACTTGTGAGTTTGTACGATAGATTCAATTAAAATGATTTTCATTAGTATGTTTGTCGTTGATTTTTAAGTGTTTAATATGCCATGAAAATCTTGGACCAATCTTGAACATAGAAAGAAAACTTTAAAATTCAAATTAGGTAAAAATGGAGAAAATGTAATTTTATACAACTGTTGATCTCAAACCAAATCAATGCCAACTCAAGATACTCTAGCTAGTATCTTCTTCATCCTTCATGAGTTTGTATTCTATTTTTGGTATTGCACTAGGGAAATTTTTGAAATTCCCTCTGTCCCTCCTTGAATATTTCTCTTGTCCATATTCTTAATCAAATTCTCAATTAACTTCTCAACAGATTGCAGTAGGGTAGAAGGAGGTTCTAACTGTTCCAATTTCACCTACTTTAATTCAGGTTTGAATTACTTTTTTGTAATTTCAATTTGTGTGAAACTTTATTGTCAAAATGACTTACCTAGCTAGAACCTGATTTCTATGATATCCTAATATAATCATTTTTCACTTCATTTTTAATATGTTTAAACAGATTATAAATTAATAGTGTTGGTATGTCTTATCATGGATAAAGATTGGGTACACTTATCAAGGTGATCTTGTCCTCTTAAATTTATAATATTTTGAAATATGCCAATAAATGGTTTTTAGATTATTTATTTAGCATACTTTGTATAGAGTTTCAGAAGCATATTAACATGGTGCGAGGAAATTTGCAAATATGGTTCAAACCAATGCTGGGAATCCAGAAAAGGTCATATGCCCTTGTAAATGTTGCAAAAACCTATTTCACCAACATTTTGATATAATGTATGGAAATCTAATCATTAATGGCATGGATCCTACGTATACTACCTGGGTGTTTCATGGGAAAAAACAAAATGCAGCATCATAGCCTCCTCAAGATGTAAAAAATTTAGAGACGTATAGGATGTATAGAGATACATTTTTTCAGAATCACAATAATGTGGAATCCTAAAATGAAGATAGAGAGAGAATTTTCAAATTCATATGACGACGTCAAAATTCCTTTATATCCTGGTAGCACGAAGAATACAAGGTATCTGCAATTGTTGTCTAGTATAAGCTTAAAGCTACTCATGGTATATCTGACAATGGTTTTAATGAACTTCTTGATATTATCCGAGATATGCTACCACATGGGAACACCCTTCCTGATTCTTACAATTCAACGAAAAGGTTATTGAACACCTTTGATTTAGGCTATAAGAAGATACATGCATGTGTAAATGATTGTTGCTTGTTTAGAAAAGATATAGTGAATTTGGATACATGTCCAAAATGTGGACCTTTGTGGTGGAAAGTTAATGAACGGACTAAAAAGATTCAAAAAGGGATACCTGCAAAGGTTTTGCAATATTTTCCAATTATACCACGATTTACAAGAATGTTTAGGTCACTCGATAAGACAAAACAACTAATATGGCACTCAAATCACAAAAGTCAAGATGGAAAAATGCGTCATCCAGTTGATTCATTAGCTTGGGAGAGAATTGATCAAAAATGACCTTGTTTTGCATCAGAACCACGAAATCTTAGGCTTGGCCTTTCTTCTAATGGATATAATCCCTTTGGTGACTTAAGTTGTAGGTATAGTTGTTGGCCAGTGATACTAGTTATATATAATATCCCTCCTTGGATATGCATGTCTAAAGAAAATTTGTTGTTGGCTTTATTAATCCCAGGTCCAAAACAGCCTGGAAATGATATAAATGTGTACCTAGAACCACTAATAGAAGACTTAAAGGAGATATGGAATATTGGTGTTGAAATATATGATGGATTAACTAAGTCTACCTTCAATTTGAAGGCTATGCTAATGTGGACAGTTAATGATTTTCCAGCTTATGGGAACTTATGAGGATATCCCACGAAAGGCGAAATAGCATGTCTAGTTTGTAGGTTATTCACATGTGCAAAATGGTTGACATGTAGTCGAAAGTTTTCATACATGGGTCATAGAAGATTTCTTGCATATAATCATCCATATCGATCAAAAGAAGCTTGGGTTGATGGAAACAAGGAGCATAGGCCTAGTCCTAAAATATTAACCGGTCGAGAAGTGATGTATTTAGTAAAAAAAAAAATGTTAGTAATAATTGGGGAAAAATAGGAAAAAAAATCAGATTCTAATTGGCCATGGAAAAAAGAGTCAATATTCTTTGAATTATCATATTGGGAGGTTAGTCATTTTAAACTATTTTGAATTATTTATTTCTCTGCTTAAACTTTTTTTCCTAAATTTATATTTTTATTTTCAAACATTACTTTTGCATCATAATTTGGATGTAATGCACATTGAGAAGAATGTTTGCGAAAGCATTCTTGGCATTATTTTGCATATGAAGGGAAAATCAAAAGACGGGCTAAATTCTCGTAAGGATTTACTCAATATGGGTATTAGAAAGGATCTTGATCCAGAATTGAAAGGAAATACATATTACCTAGCGACAGCATCATATATGATATCCAAAAAAGAGAGAGAGTTATTTTGTAAGAGGTTATTTGATTTAAGATTACTTGATGGTTACAGCTCTAACATTTCAAAATGTGTATCATTAACGGATAATAGGATTTTAAATCTAAAGTCTCATGATTGCCTTGTGCTCATACAATAGTTGTACCAGTTACATTAAAAGGATTTTTATCTAATGGACCAAGAAATTCAATTTTTCGACTATGTGCATTTTTCAATGAAATATGTCAAAGAGTCGTCGATAAAAATAAATTAGAAAAGCTTGAGAAGGATGTTGCTGTGACTTTGTATATGCTAGAAAGGTATTTTCCTCCATCTTTTTTTGACATAATGATTCATTTAACCATCCACCTTGGGCGTGAGGTTCGTATTAGTGGACCTGTACAATATCATTGGATGTATCCATTTGAAATGTAAATTACTATTATATTTTTGTTAACTATTCAAACTTTCTTCTTCTAATTACTAAGATATCTCATGCCTATTATATGGTGAATTAGGTTTAGGAAAACACTTAAAAGGATATGTTAGAAATCGTTCAAGACCTGAGGGATACATCGCAGAGCATTATTTAGCCAATGAATGTATGCATTTTTGTAGTAGTTACATGAAACATGCTGCTGAAGTAGGTGTTCGACATACTCGGAATGAGGATTTCAAGAATGAAAGAATTATTGCTAGACGTGCGATCTCTAAAGGATTCAAAGACTTTGAGTCAAGAAATGTTAGAGGTCGCTCATCATTATGTGCTATTTAACAACGTTGTAGTTGAGCTGTATATAACGTAATGAAGTTAGTTAATTTATTAGTTTATTATTAATTAATGTTCTCTCATAAACTTATCTTACTATTTGTTTATTTATTTTCATTTAAGATGCACAAAGAGGAGATTAAGAATTTAGATGGTCGTATTGCAAAGAATGAAACTTTATTACAAATGAGACATATGGAGACTTTCACTTATTGGTTTGCAGAGAAAGGCAAACATGACGATTGTAACATGTCTAATACATTGAAATGGCTTGCTCGTCGGTCTAGATGTGATGTGATGTCACTTCTAGTTATGTTATCAATGGACATCGACTTCCTACAACCGATGTTAGTAGAAGTACACAGAACAGTGGTGTTTCTATTGAAGCACAAACTATTTTTCGGTCTAGTGTGAAGGATGCAAGCCACGTAGTTGTTAAAATATCTTATTACGAAGTTATAAGAGACATAATTTTACTAGATTATCACAATTTTAAAGTTCCCACGTTTCATTGTGATTGGACAAATATTGATAGTGGAGTCAAGATTGAAGAAGGATTTACATTGGTAAATCTTCATAGAGGATGATACCAATTTGAAAGAGATCCATTTATTTTAGCATCACAAGCAAAACACGTTTTTTATTCTAGAGAAAGTGATACATTTAGTTGGTATATTGTATTAAAGGCACCTCCTAGAGGATTTCATGAGTTAGAAAATTTTGATGAGTAGGCTTATACTCCATCCACATTAGATGCATTAAGTGTTGATATGACTGTTGAAGATGACGATTATGTGAGGCATGATTGTGAGGGTATTGATATTAAATATGATAATTGTATATCTTTAAGTCTTTCTTGCTTTATTTTAATTTTATATTGATATGATATTATATTGAGGTTAATGTCTTTAATGTCTCTAATTCCATTATTTCTTGCTTTATTTTTGTAGATGCAAAGATGAAAGCTGAGTTTTGTGAATGCTGATGTTCTCACGATTGGAAATAAGATGACATACCCTGGTGAAATAAGTTCCTAGATTGTATATATATTAATTTTTAATTTTTTTATGTTAAATTTTAATTAAATTATTACATGTTTTTTCTTTTTTTCTTTTTTGTTTAATATAGTCATCTAATCAATGCTATAAGAAATCAAAAAGAGCTAAAAAAAAAAGCTTCAATTGTTGCTGCCATAAGAGAAGAGAATGAAGGGATAAAACTATCAAAAGGAGGATCTAACTTTATTCTAGATGTACGTGAAAATGATGTGGTAGAAGGGTTTCCTAATAGTGCTAGTACTATTGTAGACATATATAAGGGAAGGGGTCGAGCAAAATTGAATTATCTCAACAAGGAAAACTGTGCGAAGTTACCAGTAGAGTTTAATGAAAGAGGACAGCCAATTTGTAAGGGTTTAAATAAGTTGTCATCATTTTTTGGGACCACAACTAGAGAACTTATACCAATTACATGGAAAAATTGGAAAGATATCAGCAAAGAATTTCTTGATGACATATGGGAGCATGTGCAGGTAATATAAATGTCACGTCTCTTATATAATTTAAATGAAATTACTATTAATATTGTGTACTTTGATGCTGCAAAAGTTTGATGTCGATGCTTGTTATAGAAAATACATCATGCAAAAAATGGGAAAGAATTGGCGAGATCATCGATGTAATTTGCTTAAAGCAATCAATAACAAAGGAAAAACAATTGGCATGACACGAGCTGCTGCTCTCCTCAAGCCTGATAATGTTGAATCAATGGAAGAATGGCAAGCATTTGTCCAAGAACACAATTCTCAACCATATAAGGTAAGCTTTCATTGCTTTTGTATATTGATTGTGCTTTGCAACATACTACTTACTGCATCTGTTATATATTCACCACAACATTTATGCCCATTATAACGTGCATAAATGATTGTGTAGGAAAAGAATAAAAGATTCCAAAATATGAGAGCAAGTCAAACCATGATGCATACAACAAGTAAAAAGGGTTTTGCTTGCTTAGAAGCTGAAATGGTAAAAACTTGTTAAATTAAAGTTAAATTTGTTTGAAAAATTATAAATGTTATACAAACTACCACACATGAAATGTGTAAAATGCAGCGTGCTGAAAGTGAAGATCCTGATTCGATAACAAGAGATGATGTTTATATTTGAGGACATACGCGAAAAAATGGTGAACCTATTAATGAATCGGTTGGGGAAACATCGGTAACAATATTGCTTTTAGTAATTTTTTATCATTCAAAGCTTATATTAGGTAATTTTAGCTTATTAATGGATTTCCTCATATCAGAATAAAATAAAAGCATATTCAGAGACGGTTTCTCTCCAGGCAAACACTCACTTGAAGGTGATGGTGTTGCAAAAGTACTTGGTCCAGAACGTCCAGGACGAGTAAGAGGTCTTGGTTTCGGTGCGACTCCTTCAAAGTTGAATGCTTTGGTGCACAATCATAACTTGCAAACTCAAGTTCAAGAGTTGAGATTAAAGAATTAAAAGCTATATTTCAAGTGAAGAGTAAAAGTGCTGGACAAGAAGATAATGTAAGTGGAAATCTAGAATCAATGAATGTTATTTTAAATTACATATACTTTCTATATTCAAATAATAAATTGTACAACTGAATATTAATTTTATAGTCTAGAGACAGAAGCTTGAATGATTTAGATAACCTTCCAAATAAGAAGTGCAAATTGTTATCTTGGTTTGGGAAAGCTGATATTGTTGCAAAAGGTGAAATCGCATCAACAAATCCAAATGATCTAATGCATCATGTACCCTTGGTAATGAATGTTCGAGAGTTTGGATTAATGAAGTAATCGATAATGTCAGCTTATATCGTCCCACGCGTGAGCTTTTTCTTCTTGAAGATGCATTAGGAAGTACAATTGCATGACCAAGTAGGTACATCGAAGTGGATTCGCTGTAATCACAACGAAGGCATGCTTAACTTCCTTTCTATTTTAATTTCATTTACCTTTATGTTCGGTCTCAATTGAAGATTGGGTTGTTTAATATATTTCGTGATATACATTTGATTTGGATGCTTATTAATTATATCCTTATTATTTTCGTGGTGTGCAGGGGATCCATATTTTGTGGGGAAGCTAAATTGTCGATCAAAGAAGTGAACTTTGATAGGTTTAATAAGTTTTTGTTATATGACAGAACCTCAATATCCGCGGGCTTATTAGTTGAATGGCGATTGGCACATACAATAGTAGTCAAAAAATTTTGAGAATTGTTTAGATGAATTTTACATTGGCATATTGTATTGAACCGTACTCAATATTTCTTTTTATCGAAACAATGGAAAACTTGATTATATATGGAGTAATTTTATTTTGTTAATATTACAGGTTTGCTGGTATTAAAATAAATAAATGATTTTAAAAAAAATTGAATGCTCATTTACAGTGTGTATAGGCATGTCGTGATGCCATGAATGTAACACTTTATACGGCGTACAACTGTACGCCGTAAAAGGTGAATGGTTATTTACAGTTTTACGGCGTGTTTAGGCATGTCATGATGCCATGAATTTAACATTTTATATGGTGTACAACTACATGCCGTAAAAGATGAATGCTCATTTACAGCGCGTTTAGGCATGACGTGATGCCATGAATATAACGCTCTATACGGTGTACAACTACATGCCGTAAACAATGTGATGCTTTTTACAGCGTGCGATTGAACACCATAACAGTAATAATGGCGGTCTGTTTATGGCGCATTATGCACGTCGTAAAAAAAAGGATCACTTTTTATGACATTGCTTTATACGGCATGTTGTTGTACACCGTAAAGTACTATTTTTCAGCAACACTTGATAAAAAAATATTATTTTGATAGATCATATTTTATTTACTAATTTTTGCTTCGAAGCATGTTTGAGAGAACTTAAAAATTACTTTACTAAAAAATAAATCTTATTAATAAAAAAAATTATAATTGTTTCAGATTATAAAAAGTAAATTTGAATTCTTTCTTTTTAAGCTTAACGAAACATCGCAAGATTTCATTTCTCACCTTCAAGTTGAGAACTTTAGAATATCATGGTGTTCCTTCCATCCTTCTCAATTACTTTTCGGATCTGAACGCCCGGTAGAAAGAATCTACTTGCAAATTGACATGTTTTCAAATAGTTTTTCTTCTTAAATACATTCATCTAAAATGCCAAATGTAAAATAATATTACTAGGTAGCAAATTAAACTTTCGTTAACTTGTATTCTCCAAAAATATCAAAATATTCATGGACTTCGTACATTCTTATTAATCCAAATGCTATAACAAAAATAAAATCACAATCACTGATATTTTGTTTCTCTAATATTGAGAATTTTTATGCCGAAACACTCAAAAAAAACTCATTCAATTTCAACTGAGTGCTGGTGGCGCTGGGGCCGTAATGCAGTTATTCAGAGCGACAGGCAATTGAATCTGAGATAAAGGGAACCCTACTGGCAAGCAAGTTTTAGCCATTTGATCGAAAAGTTGACAGCACGAAGTGCTAAGGGGAAGTCCGAACGGTAATTTAAAAATATCCATTAGGCAAGAATTCTCAAGACCTTTTAGAGCTTCCAAACACTGCGAAAACTCGTTAACCATCTCTGGCTTTGATACTTCATAAGCAACATGCGAGAACTTTGGAATAGATTCGGCCATGGAGGATATCGCGATGCATGCCAACAGAAACAATGCGAAAGCCCTTTTCAAAGTTGATGATTCCATAGTATGAATATATTCGCAAATTTGTGAACTTTCTAAAAGGTCTACTGGAAGAATTATTGTGAAGTGGAATAGTGAGCAGATACTACTAAACTTTGGCTATTTATATCTGAGAGCGGATGCATTAATTAAACGAGTTATTTGTTTAACATAAAGTGCATTTCACTTCTACTTTATTTTGCAAGTATATGCTACTGTGTTATGATCATTTATTAGCAGTATTAAGCTACAGATGAGAAATAATTAATGCTACTGTTACATTCTTGATTTTGGATGGTTGACAAATTTATTGTGAACTGTCGTTTCAAACTTTATGAATGACATCGTAACTGAAATAATTTTATAATAATATTTAGGAGTGGGCATTTTTTTCCAGGACCGGTAAAATCAGACCGAAACAGTTTAGAATCGGTTGGTTCGGTTCCGAACCTTCTAAGAAACCATTTGATTTTGGGACAATTATTAAGAACCATTCAGTTCCCGTCCGGTTCCTGGTTCTAGTATGGGAATCGTCCGGAACCGGATGGTTCTCATTTGATTTTTCTTTTCTTTTTTTTGGTAAAATATATGAATCAATCTTCAATTACTTTTATAAAAATAATCAGATTCATTCTTCATTTTAGACTCCAACACTTTCCTTCTTCTCTTTGACTCTTTCATTCTCTCTTCTTATGATTCTTTATTCAAATGATTGTCTAGCCAAATTAGAATATTGAGTAAATCTATACCTAAATAAATTTATTTACAATATATAATTTCATTTCTAAATAATTAATGCTACTGTTACCTTCTTGATTTTTTATAGTTGAAAATTTTATTGTGAACTGTCGTTTCAAACTTTATGAATGACATTGTAACTGAGTCATGGATATTTATCTTTTAAAAAACTGAAGTACATTAGGGAGTTGCTTATAATTGATTTAAAATATAGAGTAAATTATATAAACCTTCCTTGAAGTTTATGACAATTTCAGAGTCATTCCCTCTTTCCAAAAATTACAGAAATCTCCCATGAGATTTATGTTTCATAACAACTTTCTCCATATCTCGCCCCTACAATAAATACCTCTCGAAGATCACCAAATGAGCAGTGACGCGGAGGACACCTCGACCCTGTCCCCGACCCCAATCCATTGTCATTCCTACAAAAAATTAATATATTAATATAAATAGTAAATACATGTTTTAAAATATTGAATAAAACTAATTGAGAATTCATTAAATATTTCATGATGATTGAAACATTTTTTGGTATTTTTTCATTTTTTGTTTACTCTTGATATATATATATATATATATATTGAGATTAGAAAACTAAAGTAATTTTATCATAAAATTAAAGAATACAAAAAGGGGAAAAAAATGGTGGCGTAAAAGGCTTAAAGATTAAATTTCTTCTTAGTTCTTTTTTGTAGTTTTAGATCATTTTTAGTTTGTCCAATTTTTCAAACGGGGAAATATTTTTTAGGATTGAGATGAAATTACTGTGTACAAAGATGATGATAAAAAAAAATGACTTTTTAAAACTAAAACAATTTGTTTTGCTTAATCAAAATTAATAAATTGTTAAGAAAATAATATACAACATAGGAAGAAAGGCAGATACGGATGTCAAGAGGGGACATTCTTGCAATTTTTGAAAAGAAAAAGTGCATACGGTAAGATTAAGCTTTCAACTTTTACGAGCATAAATGGATTTAGGTGAAACTTAAGCATAAAATGTAACATCGCGTTCTTCATTCTCGTAATAATCATGTCTGTTTAAATTAATTGCATTAATGTTATTTTATCGTGATTAACGATGTTGTTGTAGTGGAATGTAACTTGAACGTCCTAAACGAGCAACGTGCCTAGTAGTTCTAAATTAGACATAAATATAATTTTGTTAAATTTATAATATTATTATATGATATTTTTATTACACTTTATGCTTCTAATTGGACTTCCAATCTAAACTTGTTATTGTAATCAATTTTTTTTTTAATATTAGTAAGATTTATTATAATTAAGCTAATTGACATTGATTTTGGAGTGAAATTTGGTTGAAGGAGTCAAATGAGATGTTTTTAATGGTTTATTGGCACGAAATGGGTAAATTAATTTAGTCAAGTGATGTGTTCATATAATCTATCAAAAATAGCAAAAGTATTATCATAAAACATTAAAGCTCTAAATGTAAATAAATAAATAAATATATAAATAAAGATCTAATTCTACTCTTTCCTTAAGAAATAAAAGTCACTGTGTATCCCTCTCAAGCTAACTAAGTTCAATTCCAAAAGGCTTATTCCCTTTATTCGTATTTGCTATACCTATTGAATTTTGAAGTTCCTTCATAAGGTACCCAAATTTCAATTTACAATTGGATAGTTAATTTTATATTGTATATTATGATTTACGTAATTACGTAAGTGTATGTCTACATGAATATGGGTTGGTGTAGATTGGTTACTAAAATTTCTGTTACAAGTTCTGAAAATTTTCTCCACAGCCCAATGTTATAATTAACCATCTTTAATTTCTCAAACCCAAGTTTTACAAATATATTTTGTTATGAATTGAGCACAAGATAATGAAAATAATGAAATAAATAAAAATAAATAAGAATACCAAAATTTATGTGGAAACCCATGATGGGAAGAAACCACATGCAGAGAAGGAAAAATGTATTATAATCAATAATAATTGTGTTTAAAACAAAATCTAAATACTCTCAGTTAAGATCTAAAACTCTCAAAATATTGTATTTATGAAAATAATACAAATTGTGACTTATATACATATACCCTAAAAATCAAGTTGTAGGTGAATAGAAGTCCAAAAATTGCGTCAAAATGCAAGTGACAGCTCCGTCGCCGAGCGCCAAGTGAGCGAAAGGTCTCCAGAGAAAATATGCAAAAGTCGCCCAAGCAACTAGCTAGCGAAAATGTGGAGATTTTTCTCTCCAATTCATAATTTTGATCTTTTCAAAACCACTTCAACCAAAATTCCAATGTCCACTAGAATTTGGGTTCGAAATACAACAAATCTCCACCTTGAACCAAACTCCAATACGAGAAATTTCAAAACATATTTCCATAGTAAACACCACTCATTCTTTTCCAAACAAGCCCCAATGAATTAAATCAAGGACAGGCATCAACTAAGTTTAAGCAATGTTCAAATTTAGCAATTGGAAGTGGTTTTGTCATCATATCAACTGAATTATCCTTGGTATCAACCTTTCTCATTACCATATCACCACGAATAGTCACATCATGCATAACATAACCTCACATCAATATGCTTAGTCCTTTCATAGAACATCTGATCCTTAGTAACAAAAATAGCACTCTAACTATCATAATATACACAATCAATTCCCTCAACCACATAGTCTCCTTACATCCCTCTGTAATGGCCATGTACTTTGCCTCTGCTGTAGACAAAGCTATTGTATTTTGTAAAGTAGCTTTTCAACTGATAGCACAGCCTTCAAGGATAAGCACATACCCTGTAAGTGATCCGCTCTTATCAATATCCTTTACATGATCTGAATCTACATACCCAATTACTCCATCTGTATTTCTACCAAAATGTAAGCTAGTATTAGTAGAGCGCTTCAAGTATCCGAATATCT